GGGTTGTTTAAGTCCCCTTTTTTGGTTATGCCAGTGTTTTTATTTGCGTCAGGTGGTCGGTGTTTTTTGGTTGGTTTTGTTTTTTGGTGGTCGGTTTATTTGGTGGTTTTTGTTTTTTGGGGGGGTTTTGGGATTTTAAAAAAAATCTCTCACCTCTTTGAAGTTTCATCACTCAGACTTTTATATTTTCTTTCTGGGAAAAACAATGTAATTGAGAAAGCAGTGCTTGGTGTGAACTACTGTGTGGGACAATGTTTTGTGAAGACGGTCAGCAAGGACAGAGAAAAGCTTTGTCAGTTTGTGAAGAATCTGGCACAAAGCGTAACTTTGTTAGGAGTCTTGTTGTTTGTGGTGCAGATGGTGAAAATGTGGCAGCACCTTGCTCAAAGAACGGTGAACAATCTTCAGTGGCCACCTTTTTATGTCTCCATAAAATTCTTTGTGGTAACATTACAGTATTTTTTGCATAAGGGATGATTTAATATGGATTAGCTTTTTAAAGGTGAACTTGCTTGGCCGAGAAAATATCCAAAAGTGCTTTTAAAAAGTGTCCAGTTTTTTTGTGGTTTTGTGACCAAGTTCTTTGTGATTACTCACATTGTGACCATTGAAGATAACTATGTCGCCGTCATTCATCCTTGAAATGTTTGTCACCGTCGTTCCTCATTTTCAGGAGGAGCAAAAAAACGTGACTTATTTCGGGCGGGAAATTATGATCGTCATAATACAAAATGTTTGATTGGTCTAATCTAAATCCTTTACTATTGTAAGAAGAGGAATGAGTTCAGAACCAATCACTGCTGCTCATCAAATTGTACTGCCTACTTTATTTTCTTTTTCTGGATTAACAACAACAACAGTTTGATTTTCATTTTTTAAAAATATTTTAGCCTACTACACTGTTGATTGATGGCGACGTTATGTCTGTGTATTTCCTGTGATGACCCTGTGGTGTCAGATGACGAGTGGCTCAGCCATAACACTTTGCGGTCACTTGGCGCAATAATGCAACGGTGAGAATTATCCGTTCCGATCACCTGGCCCGAGAAGTCCGTTGCTGTCACTCGTTGCCTGGCTGTGTGATCAGATGGGGATACTTTGCACTGCTGGCTTGTGTGTGACTGCAAAGTGTTTTGGCTCTGGCTAGCCCCACAGAGTTCTCAGTCCTGTCTTGTCTGGGTTTGCTGAAGAAAGAAATGAACTAACAGTTTGTATTATAGGATGGAAGGGAGAAACAGAAAAGAAACCTCTCCCCTCCCCCTGAAGAAAAATGTGGCTTTGAAGATTTTTGCTCTGTGCTTGCTTTGTGTGTTGTGTTGGCAAAGTGTTGAACGATGGCTTGACATAAGTTGTAGTGCTGCTGCAGTTGTAGCGGTTAACTTGCATGAACTGTTCGAGGCCCTGGAAGGCTGCCTGTGTCTCTGCTGGGGGTCATCAGTTAGTGACCCAGGTAAGTTGAAAGGTCACCGCCGACCGGCGTAGTAGTGAGTTAGTGTTGAACTGTACGAAGGAAGGAAAAGGTAAAACAGGGAATGTCAAGGTTTTTTATGGGTTCAAGGCCATGAGTGCAATTCACTTTTTGAGTTGAGTACTCGAACCGTTTGCTCTTTGGGCTTGGGACGAAATTGTTTTAGGGTTTGTAGTGGGGGGGGGTCATTTTATAAGGATGCCACTTTCCTCCTTATGTTGTAGATAATGAGAAATATCAAATAGCTCTCATTGCGTTCTTCTGTTTCTTATGTGAAATTTTTATTCCCATGTAAAATTGATGTAGGCGTGTCTTTATGTCTCTGTCTATGTTTCGCAATGATCTGGAAGTTGTACTTTACTTCTACGATCCAGGAGTACAAAAAAATGCGTCATTTACTTCTACTGTTACAAGGTACCCCTAGTCAATTTCATGGTCCTGTTTGAGAGATTTGACTCTGTACTTCAGTGGTCAGTTTTGGGCCTGGATCTTTTCTATAAAGTCTTGTAGTAGCTCACTGTTTTCTGTCCCAGTAGGTTTATTTTTGGTTGTTTGATTTTTAAAAACTTTTTTTTCTCTTCTTCTGTAAATCTATTGAGGAAAGTGGAAAAGTTATGTGTAGTGTACACGTTTTTGTCAAGTTGAGAGATAATGACTTTTTGAAAAGTTGACAAGAACCTTTGGCAACACCCCTTTTCTGATATTTTCTTTTGGTTAGACGAAAAAGGCGGAATTTCACCAAGAGTGCAACGGAGATTCTCACCGAGTATTTTTACTCCCACCTGAGTAACCCATATCCTAGTGAGGAAGTGAAGGAGGAGCTAGCCCGGAAATGTGGGATCTCCGTGTCGCAGGTTAGTCCCGCCCCCCCTCCTCCCCTCCTCTCTTTGCCCCGCCCCCTGGACCACCACGCACACCCTTGTCCATCACCAGCCAGTTGCGCTCTCTCGTCACGCTGGCCTTAATGTTTAATTAACCTGGGGGAGTTTTTTCCTTTGTCAGTCGCTTTTTGTTGTGTAAGAGTCCTGTTTTCGTCCCTGCACAAATTCTTGCTCTCTTCTCGCAAGGTCTGCTGCATGTTTTTGAACTGCCAACGTTTTGTGTATGTGTTTGTTTGTGTATTGTTTGCCTGTGTGTCTGCAAGTGAGGCATCCGGTACCCTGATGGAAAGCGAGAGATATATCGACAAAACAACGAGGTGAGTTGAGGATTTGTTGAGCTTTTGTGGCCGTCTCCACCCAGCGTACGCCCTGAGTGATCCGTTTGCCTCCCCCTCCCTTTGTGTCTGGCTGAACAGCCTGCGAATTTTTGTTCTCCTTTTTTCTCTTCTTTCCGTTGGTGCTGGCCAGACGCAAGCGGAGGAATTTCAGCAAACAGGCGTCTGAGATCTTGAACGAGTACTTTTACTCGCATCTCTCTAACCCCTATCCTAGCGAAGAAGCCAAGGAAGAATTGGCGCGCAAGTGTGGCATCAACGTCTCCCAGGTCAGTCTTCTTGCTCCTCCGCTCCGCCACCTTCTGTCACTCTTTTGTTGTCACTCACCCCCATCCATCCATCCACCTGTCAGGCTTCTGTTCTCTCTCTCATTCATCGCTTGATTCCTTTTGCTGCTCACTCTTGTCACTATTGTCAGGTCCATGTAGGATTTTTTGAAAATGTGGTTTAGCACTGTAGGGTTCTTGTCCTGTTGAGGCGAACGATTTTTGGGTGAATTCTTTCGGCCTATCCGTAACGATAAAAAAATAGAAGTGCCTTAATTCATCTCATTTTTCAGCCCTGCATGGAAAAAGTCCAGATACCAATTTGATCGGGGTTTATCCACTTGTTTATTTTACCTTTGAGGAAAAAAGTCCAGATTTTGCATTTACTGGGGGTTTTCTATTCGTGTAGGAAAGAATATTGTCCTGTGTTCTGAGACCGTTTAGATTCCCTGGACAGTGTAGTGATAAATGCGAAGAAGGAGCTGATTTTTTTAAATTAAAGAAAGGGTAGAGCGTTAGTGAAGAGACTGGACAGGGTGATGGAAGTTGTCTGTGTTACAATAGTTTTTGTTGGTCAGTATGTTAGTGTTCTAGAGCCTATAACTGGCTGCTTGCACTGTATGCTTCCCAGGAAGTTGAGGTTGTTTCAGAATGCTCTCAGGTCTGCTGGGGTAATAGTATAGATTGTAAAGCGCACAGATCTTGCTGTTGAACGAGGATGGGCGCAATACAAATACTTATATTATTATTTACTCTATTAAAAAAAAAACCCCACCTTTTTTTTGGTTCCTTAGAGTAGGTTGGAAGAAGTTTGGGTTTTTTTTTCGTTTTATATTCCATGGGTAGTTGGGCTGCTTGCTGTGTCTGGTCTTCATCCCCATTTTGTGCAACGTTTGTCACTCTTCTGTTGTGAGTGGAGATGGCTGAGCCTGGCTCTGCTCACATGCCACACTAACCCGACTCGCTGACTCGTTCCATCACCACTAATTTTCTTCTTCGTCCTTCTGTCCATCGTGCTGTTTTGGTGGATGCGTCAGAGTTGATGTGATCCTACTTATCCTGAGAGATAATGGATTAGCTTTT